AGCGAGTTAGACCATGGGGGTCGTTCTCCCGCTAAAGTCATAACTGTGACCCAAAGTTGGGTCCGGCAGCTGTTATGATGTCTAAGCAGCCGTATTTAGAGACAGCACTGGTTTCTCTTGTGGGGAGGACATTCAGGGAACTAGAAAAGTTGCCCCAAACAAATGTTGGGTGACATCTTCTGCCAACCGACCGTGGCTGACAGACTGCAAAAACTGCAGTCGAAAAAATCTAAATACAAACCAAATTCTTCCTATTCCCCACCCCCTTCCCCGCCCTCTTTAATCTCAAAGGGCAGTTCAGGGAGCTATGGTGACGCCCATGACAATAGCAACCCTTCACGATAAGCCGAGGAGCAACCGAACACAACGGAGAACAGCCCTAATTGCCCGGGATTTGACGCACTTCAGGTTCGACATCGCCGACATCGTTCCTCCGACCAAGGCTATGTGGAGGTGGGTGCCGGTTACACTTTCCTCTGAAGTGGCCGCCCCCAGGCAGAGCATAGCGGGGCCGGTGTCGCCCTTGCCATTCGGACCGACGTAGTAGGACATCTACTTTGTTTGCCGCAGGGTATCAATGATCGTCTGATAAGCTCCCCCCTGCGTCTTCCGAGTGGCAAATTCCTCACCTCATCGACGATACAAAGAACAATTTCTACAAAAATCTGCACACCATCCTAGCGACTGTGCTTAAAGAAGACAAGTCGATTGCCCTTGGCGACTTCAATGCGCGCGTCAGCACAGACCACACTGGCTGGAGTGGAGTGCTGGGTTTCCACGGTCTCCAAGGCTTTAGTGACAATAGCCTGCTCTTCCTCCCAAACTGCACAGAGCACTGTCTCATCCTGACCTACACCTACCGTCACCTTCTTTTGCAACACAAGGCAACTTGGATGTCTCATCGGTTCCGGCAGTGGCATCCTCTGGACAATATCCTCGTCCGGCGGCGTGACCAGCAGGACGTGCTGATGACATAGGCGGTACTCGGTGCTGACGGATGGACCGGACATTGTCTCATCATCTCTAAGATGAGGATCCGCCTTCAAATACGCAGGGGATCTCAAAGAAATCGATCTCCAGCTAAGTTGAACGCCCTTTTTTGAATTTGCTTGCTATCCATTAGCATTTTAGCAACGAGCTGGTTAAACGGCTAAACCAGGGAACGGGATCGTATGGCTCTTTTGATGATTGCATCTGGCTCTCTCAGATAAAATTGGAATTAGAAACTTCAGATTTTCGCCTTAATTGAATTGAATCTGAATTGAAATTCAATCCGATTCAATTCAATCTGAAAATATATTACATGGCTCTCACTGTAGTATATTTTCAAATATTTGCTTTCTTGGCTCTCTGAGCCAAAAGGTTCTCGACCTCTGGGTTAGAAAATCTTCTAGTTGCCAATATAGGAGAATATCCGAGTTCCAGAAAGCAGTTCGGAAGAAGGGAGAGAAGAACCCCTCTGCGGTGGACCTATGATGCTAACTACGAAGCACTGTCGAATCCACCGCCCGAGGTGTCATTGGCCGTGCACGCCGTCAACCTCAGGTCTGGTTGCACGAAAATAATGCAGACATGAGCAATCTGCTCTCTAAGAAGAACCACCCGCGCAAAGACTACGTTGACCACTCTATCTACGCCATGGAATCAGCCTTATTCCCAACTCGCCATCTTGTACAACAGCCCGTTCGGGAAAGGCAAAGTCAAAGTCACATCTCCTTTTCCCAGCGCTGATGGAACTACTCTACTCACTGAGAAGACACAGATTCAGAAACGATGGGCTGAGACTTCCAAAGTGTAATTAACCGTACCCCCCCTCATCTCTGAAGCGGCTATCGGCCATCTGCCTCAGGCAGAAATCAATGCTGACCACAACCATCCACTCTCAGGAGCCCACGAAGGCCGTGCAGCAACTCTCCAGCATTAAAACATCCGGCTCCGATGCGATTCCTGCTGATATTTGCAAATATGGCGGCTACCAACTTATATTCCGACTTACCACGCTCCTCTAGGAGACGTGATGACGAGTTCAAGTCGGTTAGGACTTCAAAGACGTCGCGATTGTCCACCCCCACAAGCGAAAGAAAAACCGCAAACTCTGTGAGAATCATCGTAGAAGCTCGCTGCTCAATATCGCTGGAAAAATCTTCGCTCGTATCCTCCTAACTATCTCAACAATCACTTGGAACGAAGGCTCCTGTCGGAAAGCCAATGCTGCTTTCGTTGTCCTCACGGCACCATCGACATGATCTTCGTCGCATAGCAGCCGCGAAATAAGTGCTAGGAAATACGCACTCACCTCCACACTACTTTCGTAACCATAACGACAGTGAATCGCGTCGGACTGCGGAAAGTCATTCAGAAATTCGGCTGTCCTGAGCACTTCATTCACATGGTACGTCAGCTCCACGACAGGATGATGGCGCATGTCACGGAAAGCCGGACGGTTTCCGAAGCCTTCGCCGTGACCAATGGAGTAAAGCAGGGCTGTGCCCTCACATCTACCCTCTTCGGTCTCATGTTCTCTGTCATGCTGATGGATGTCTACCGCGACGAAGGTCCCGGGAGCAAAGTCTATCGACTTAAACTGGATGCTGATTTTAATCATCGTAGGGGACGCCTGTCGATCGCGTTGGGTTTAAAGATTCATCTACAGTCGCGTGGCAAGCTATGCGCCTATCACTACTCACACTGCGACTGCCTCGGAGCATATAAGCATAAAGGTACGAGTAGGGTTTATTAACGTTTGTGTACTCATTCACAGTTAAAAAGATGGACAATTAATCCAGGAACGCTAGTCCGAACCCAAAAGGATGAAACATTGGGAATGAGTACGGCTGGCTGATGACGGCTTATAAGCCAAAATTAGCCACCTCAATCTCTGCTTTCTTTGTTGTTAGTCGGTTGCTGGGGTTTATCGTTTACCCGGGTGGTGGAAGCCATGTTTCCGACAGCTAACAAAATTTTGACGAACCGCGCATACTAAAATGGGAGCTGCTGACATACAGGAAGGCCAATGTGTCCATAGTTTTTTCTTTTAAGTTCCTTAGATTGGCGGATTCCAGGCATAGGTATTCCTATCAACATAGTTTAGTATTTACCGACAGATGTCCGAATCTGGATTGTTCGGTTAAACGTCAAAACCGGGGCCTGTCCCAAGCTTCAACTTAAATGCCCAAATAGACTGCTTTATTTGGAAATGACACCAGAGCCGCAAGTGCACATGAATTATTTTTTCAAAATTCGTTTAAGATTGAACTTGAAACCATAAGCTAGAACATTCAAAGCTGAATAAGCCTATTAAAATCTGAAAAATAGATCACTCTTACAATTACTTCCAAAGGAAAGACTGAATCCAACTGATACGGCTAGCCGCATTCAAGGATGACCAATGGATAATATAACCGGCTCTGCATCCAAAAAGTATTATTTATTTAAATTGATAAAGGAATCGATAAGAGTTGATGTTAAATTAAATCACCTGCTGACTGATGCAAACGGAACTTAACTTACAAGATTTTTACCATTTGGAGCCACAACTGTAAAGGCTAAGAACGACAGAGTCCCAGGCAAACGCAGCGTACATTAGATGCACTATCTCATGAGATCCAACGATTTTTACAAGTAATTCCCCCTTACTCAAACGCAGACCAAGCTGTGGCCCCCAAAGTCTTACTGTAGTAAAGTAATGATCGTTCTTCACAATAGGGCGTATGATGATTTATGAAGGAATATAAAGTTTCATAGAAACACTAGCTTTTTTAACAAAGTGGAAAATTCCGAAAAAGTGGAAATCGGGCGCACTAAGGTAAAATTAAGTTTTACATGTAGACAAAGCCCGTTCATGCAAAACCACCGAGTAAATAAAGCAGCACCAATAAAATTACGTTGGAAAATAATCGTTTTGTCAAGTTTTCGAATACACATGCTTCCATATTA